GAACACCCACTTTGTGTTGGGCCTGTCGACTTTTTCATTGTCGAGACGCAGTTCTTCCTGGCGGTTAAGCTATTTTTCCGCGTCTTCCAGCTTGTTAAACCACTGTGAGCCCTTGGGGCTCGAGTAGTAAACAATAATCGTTCCATCCTCAATGTTGCGCAACTGGTACACGAAAACGTGCCTCAGATAGAACGACGTGCTTACTCTTTCACGTATCCTCGACATAAAGTCTGGTGTTAGGTTTCTCCCCAGACCTCTGATGAAGCGCCATCGAATGAAACGCCGGCCTGTACTCTCTTCCCTTTCTTTCTCTGCGTCATCGAACAGATCCAGAATCTCGTTCTGGTAGTCTGACACTGTTCGGGTTTTCCGCACAGGGAAGGGGTCGCACTCCCTCAGAAGAGCTTGCGCTTTTCTCGACTTTCTTTGGCGTGGAGGGGGTCTTGCTTGGTAAGGCTTTGGGAGTAAGGGGGTTTGCAAACTCTTCTGGGTTTCCTGAGAAATCGGGTCATCCAGCACGTTCTGGACAACCTTTCTTGCCGCCGGAGCGTTTTGTGAAAGAAGTTGCTCAAAATACTGCAACGTTTCTGGATCGATTTTTGCAAGTTCTTCTTCCAGTCTTTCTTCGTAACTTTGGTTGTAGGAAGACATAGTTCCTTGGATATAATACAAAACCTCATTTCTCCAATTGGGTTGACTTCAGCTCGAGAAGAACGAGCTCGAAAGCTTTCTTAGCTTTTTCGCGCTTCCGCAACAACCGCTGCCTTACGTTCTTTCCTCCGCATCCGCTGCATAACCGGTAGTAGCACTGCACCCCAACCCCGCAGACCCGACATGGGGCTGGCATTCTCATCCCTTTCTTTAGCTGGTAGTTGTGCTGCTTGCAAAAGGTCCCCACACACCCCTTTCCGCAGCTCTCTTTCCGGCCCCGCATCAGCCACGCACACATGTTTGTCGCTCGAGGCATCGCGGCTCGGGCGGTATAACAGCGGGCTCACTTGTTTCCAATAGGTGGCTCTCCCTCTCTGTTGTTTTAAGTAGTATATAGGGGTAATCCCCTATATACTACTCTTTCTTTCTTGTAGCCGCCTCCGGCAATCATTAGATAGATAAGAATCCTTTAGGGAGAGAGGCCATGAAGGTCGATCGGCAATATTTAGTACAGATGGAGCATGGAATAGTCGAAGGCTACAGTTAGGGGCCATTAAAGCTTCAAAAATGGTTTTCGGGGCCTCCGAGAAGGCATGGGACCCATTGGCTTGGTTGTTGCAGGCATGAAGTAACGCAGAACTGTCGACGTAAACGTCGACTCTGGAGTTCTTAATAGTGTCAGCAAAAGACGTTAGCGCATTGGCGAGGGCAACAGCTTCTTTGACAGTAATGTCGGATGACAAGGCTTCGTCAGACCAATAATGAGAAGCTAAAAAAACGTACTCAAGACGTTGCCCCAGGCATAAGAAGAGGCATCGCTCTACAGAGAGAGAGAGAGAGAGAAACCGAGAGACAGACAGACAGACAGGCAGACAGACAGACAGACAGACAGATGGATGCATGGATGGATGCATGGATAATAGCATGTGCTAGCTAGTGCACAGTTCACCATGACTTTTTTCCCCCGCTTTGGTTTTAGAGGGTATTCCATTACCATTCCGACGACTTATTTTTTCTCTGTTTAAATCAATAAAACAAAAATTGACAGTAAATTAAACCACTAAAAAGGCAATGTACAAAAACTGACAGGTCGAAAACAAAAAGAACGCTGACATTGATCCGGGATGTGCGTCGTAATTTCATTCCTCTGGTGTTCTTTTTCTTTCTTCACCAAAGGATTGACAGCTTCCTCTAGGTCTGTTTCTCCTCTTCAGTCTTACGATCAGCCTCCACCATGCTGCATGAGTCAGGATACCCTTTTCTTTAATTCAAGTATTTTGGTTGCTGACGTAATACAATGAAAAAACAATGTTATTATTTTTAATATCTGACCAACTCTGAACGCGTAAAGCGTGCGAAACGAGATATTTCCTATCATTTTGTGTAAGAGGTAAAAGTAATTCATATCCAGTTAATGTTTTGACCAGATGTTCTGTATCCCGTTTATTTTTCTTCAGTCTAAAATCAACAGTTTTCCAACAAAGATATGCGGGGATATTCTCGGTCCACTGTAAGGCGTAAATTTGTTGTGTTATTTTTATTTTTTAATTTTTTTTTAATTGGACGGGCATACCCGTATCATCACTAAGGATTTGGGTATCCCCTTACGATCGATCTAACGCGATTTCGGCGAGTTGTTGTCGTTAGCTGAGGAGCTGGCAAACAACAAAGAATACAACACAGCAACAGGGTAAGTAGGTTTTATTCATAAAATATAAGAACAATTAAATTTTAGAGCAAAACCGTTGCATTCCCATACAAACCCTTGTAAATCGAATTATAACACAACAGGTATCACCGCCTATAAGAAAGAGTCTCGTCCAAGGTAATCTGATAGAGAGCTTGGGCTGCCTGTGGTTTCGTATATCGTTTTAAATGCGGACTCGGACCAGACAGTCTGTTATAAATTGCGACTATTTTCAGAGACGTGATGTGTTTATATCAAGCTAAAGAACGCTTTAATTTATTGAGACAACGGTTCGAAAGAAAGTACACGGTTTTGAGCAGATTCACTTGCCCCAGTTTTACGCTTTCAGTGTTTTGGGTATCCCCAGGTATCCCTACTGGAGATATACCCAAAACACAGGGATACCCGAATCACAGTAGGTAGTGACACGGGGCCTAAACGCCGGACGTGTTCAATCGAAGAAACCGATAATCAATTACAATCGATATCAATCGATAGAAATTAATAAATAGTATCGGAAATCGATAAAAATCAAGAGAGGGATACGTTGCAAGTAATCAATAATTATCGATTTTTAAATTAATATTATCGATTTTATCTAACTTATCGATTTTTTCAGCGCAAAACGTCTGCACTTATTATAGGGCAGCGAAACATCAGAAAATAAACAGAGCCGTTTATACTAAGGGTAGGTTCCTTCAGGATGATCAGAGATCACTGACTCGGGTCATAGTGCAGCAAGGGAACTGATGAATCGTTGTCCAGAGTGTTAAAAATAAATTCTTGAACTCATTTGCTTAATTCTGATGATCTTGTTATTTGCGTAAACTTACTCCGGGCTATGAGCGGGTTAGGAGGTCTTAAAGACGGGTGTATGACCAGGTTGTAAGGATAACTCAATATGTCCCAACAGGCTTAACACTGAAGTACATGACAAAGCGAAGAAAAATAGGTGATAGGTTGAGCCATAGTTGGTAGAGAAAACAATTAAATACTACTAACTAAGGTTGAGCGTTCGCAAAACACAGCTAGTTTTTGAAACGCTGCCTCTGAAGAAACAGATTTTTGAATTTACTAGTGTCAAAAATACATGGTCCTTGCTGAGGACGATAAAATCGATAAATCGATAAATTCGATATCATAAAAAACAGCAACGGTTGTGAGTATCGATTTCTATCGATTGATCGATAAAATCGATATCGTTTAATCAAGAATTATCGATCGTTATCGATTTACCGAACGGTTTTCCGATATCGACTTTTATCGATTGAACACGTCGGATAAACGAGCTTCCCTTTTAAACCAATCACTGAAAATATGCTATGAGAATATGCGGATCACTCACGGTTTCTGGTAAACCAGGCTAATAGGACTCGACAAAAATCGTCTCGATATAATGTGTGCTCGATATGCAACGAAGACGTGACTCGTTTAAAAAAAACCAGGCTCGTTCTTGAAACTTTCGGAAAACGAGACTTGTTTTGACGGAAAACTATTCAAAGAAGACTCGTTCGGAGTGTTCGTTAAAACGAGACTCTTTTGAAATAACGAGACTCGTTTTGAATAACGAGACTCGTTTGGAAAAACGAGACTCGTTTGGAAAACGAGACTCG